AAAAAGGTTGAGAACCACTGGTTTAGTGGCTATTCAAAGTTACAATGGCACTGAAAAAGGTGAGTTATGACCGTTTTTCACAGTTACAACCTTTGCAGCCTCCCCATGATCATGTGATCAAAATTCAAACGCTTGGTACAAGAAATGGAAAATCAGGGTTTCAGTCTATCGTGGTGGGCATATTTACAAATGCAAGCTAGAGATGATAAAGATGTTAAACCTGTATGAATTTTATAAGGAACAAACTGCGTTTGATACGACATTGTTAACTTCTGATGGGAAATTAATTAAGGAAACGTGTAATTTTCTATTAACTTTGAAAACGGAAAGCGAACAAGTGAAAGAAGCAACGATAAGGTGGGCGAAAAATGTTGGATACAATATAGAATTAGAAAAATGGCAAAATTTCTGGGAAAGAAGTCACAGAGTGAGAATGCCAAGTTCCTACAAAGAAAATTTATATAAAATGTTTTATAGATGGCACTTGCCACCAGCTAGACTAGCAAAAATGTTCAAAAACAAGTCAGATAGATGTTGGAAAGGTAAACATAAGTCAGGCACTTATTATCATGTTTGGTGGACGTGTGACAAAGCAAAGAATTATTGGAAAAAGATACATGCCTGGCTAGAAAAGATGTTGGGAAAACATGTAGATTTTAAACCTGAACTTTTTTTTATTAGGTATAATGCCAGAAGAGACTGACAAACAAAGCATATATTTGATTTTGCACGTCACAACAGCGGCAAGAATTCTATTTGCGCAATACTGGAAAAATAAAGGAATACCATCAGATGAAGAAATAATCAAAAAAATACTAGAATGCGCAGAGATGGACAGACTGACTATGAGGCTGAAATAAAAAGAAGAAACGAAATATTACCAAACTTGGGACTTATTTTATCGATGGCTAGAGAAAGAATAAAGGATTAGGAATTAAATATGTATTAGCAAATGTAAACTCAGGCAGCACGTTGGTTGAAAAATTGTTACTGAATGTATGGGGGGGAAAAAACAATAAAAACTTTTACCCCCCCAAAAAAAATAATTCAAATGCTTGGCCAATGGCTCAGATTTACGACGGTTGAGCGTCCCGGGATCACGCGATCCTCTTATGTGACCTTCTGTTAAGCCAAGTCAAGAAGGGAAGCCGGATTCACTTAACAACTGGATTACTGACTCAACAACTGCAGTGACTCACTTAACAACAGGGGTGAAAAAGGTCGTAAAACGGGGCAAAACTACCTTCGGCAGAGGCCTGATCCTGGGAGACCCCCTGGGCGGCTAGTAGCTCCCCGTAGCCATAATCCGTGATTTTCAACACAAACCGTCCATCCACCACACAGTTGCGAGATTTGAGGCGCCCGTGGGTCAAGGCCTGGCTGTGTAAGTATTTCATGCCCTGGAAACAAAATAAAAATAAAAACAAAGCTTTGGCATTTTCCTCTGGGCCAATAGAAGAAACACGTGAAAAATTAAAACAATCCGCCTTCAGAAATGGGCCCTCAAGATGGTGGGATTTTACCTCAGCTGGTTTTTAGGACGGGCCTGGTCATCCTTTTACGGAGTGGACAGTTGGGGAGTGTGAGTGAATGCTAAAACACTGGAAGTTTTTAAGAAGAGACTGGACAGGCATTTGTCCGAAATGGGATAGGGTTTCCTGCCTGAGCAGGGGGTTGGACTAGATGACCTCCAAGGTCCCTTCCAACTTTATTATTATTATTATTATTATTATTATTATTATTATTATTATTATTATTATTATTATTATTATTCCAAAATGAGGAGATAGGGCACAAGGAAATTGGCAGAGGTAAGGTAAAAATTTAAATTTCTTGGACTCCAGAACCATCCAGGGTCCAGAACGACAAGATGGAAGCCAGGATTGCAATGACACTTCTAGGATTCACCTTTCATTTAAATTCAGATGGAGTCATGTTGATATTGGATTCATTCAATTCCGTGAATAGGATGAATTCTTTAGGTATGTGTGCTCGGCTGAAAGGATCTGGAGCCGAATCCAAGAATTTTAGGGGCCTTTTTGCAAGCTGGAAAAGTGCTTTCAGCACTTTTTAAGCACTAACTGACCATGTCTATCTAACTCCTTGGGATTAAAGGTAGGGTCACTCTTCAGAGCTGTATTCACTTAACAACAACAACAAAAACAACAACAAAAACAATAATAATAATAATAGTAATAAAGTTGGAAGGGACTTTGGAGGTCATCTAGTCCAACCCCCTGCTCAGGCAGGAAACCCTATACCATTTCAGACAAATGGCTGTCCAGTCTCTTCTTAAAAACTTCCAGTGTTGAAGCATACACAGCTTCTGGAGGCAGGTTGTTCCACTGGTTAATTGTTCCCACTGTGAGGAAGTTTCTTCTTAGTTCCAGGTTGCTTCTCTCCTTGATCAGTTTCCATCAGTTGTTTCTTGTCCTGCCCTCAGGTGCTTTGGAGAATAGTTTGACTCCCTCTTTTTTGGGGCAGCCCCTAAGATATTGGAACACTGCTATCCTGACCCCCCTTGTCCTTCTCTTCGTTAAACTAGCCATACCCAATTCCAGCAACCGTTCCTTATATGTTTTAGCCTCCAGTCCCCTAATCATCTTTGTTGCTCTTCTCTGTACTCTTTCTAGAGTCTCAACATCTTTTTATATCGGGGTAACCAAAACTGGATGAAATATTCAAGTATGGTTTACCAATGCCTTATAAAGCAGTATCACCTCTTTTTGTGATCCCGATTCTCTGTTAATGCAGCCCAGGATTGCATTGGCTTTTTGGGCAGCTGCAGCACACGGCTGGCTCCTGTTTAGCTGATTGCCTACTAGGACTCCGAGATCCCTCTCACAGTTACTACTTGAGCTAGGTACCGCCTATTCTGTACCTGTGCATTTGGTTTTTCTGGCGATAGAACCTTACTGCAACAGCAAGTTGAGAAACCAGAGGGAGACTTACTTTAATTAAATCCATCAAAAGGGATGATTTAAACATCCAGTCTAACTTTATGTCCATGTTTTGTAGCAAGTCCTGGAGGCTTCCCCTGGAGCAGAAACCCATCACGATTGCAGAAAGGCCCGTGTCAGATAAAACACCCAGAAAGGGGTTCACATTTTCATGGCGTAAGTCCCTCATCTACAGACAAATCAAAAAAGAAGAGAACAAGGAGGTTAAATAATAATAATAGTAGTAAAGTTACTACTTTACTCAGGGGCTGCCATAAAGAAGAGGGAATCAAGCTATTTTCCAAAGCACCTGAAGGCAGGACAAGAAGCAATGGGTGGAAACTAATCAAGGAGAGAAGCAACCTAGAACTAAGGAGAAACTTCCTGACAGTGAGAACAATTAATCAGTGGAACAGCTTGCCTCCAGAAGCAGTAAATGCTCCAACAATGGAAGTTTTTAAGAAGAGACTGGACAGCCATTTGTCCGAAATGGTGTAGGGTTTCCTGCCTGAGCAGGGGGTTGGACTAGATGATCTCCAAGGTCCCTTCCAACTTTACTACTATTATTATTATTATATAAGGAGGTGTAAGAAAGCACAGCATGGCTGAATGGGAAATTGTGGAAGGAGAAGTCCATCTACTTGAGAGGTTCCATTTTCTTGTTGTTGTTCAGTCACTAAGTTGTGTCTGATTCTTTGTGGCCCCCATGGACCATAGCACGTCAGAGCCACCACCACTCCATCCTCCACTATCTCCTGGAGTTCATCCCAAATCATGTTCCTTGCCTTGATGACCATATCTAATCACCTCATCCTCTGCCGTCCCCTTCTCCTATTTCCTTCCATCTTCCCCAACATCCGGGTCTTTTCCCAGGAGTCTTCTCCTCTCATTGGGTGGCTAAAAAATTTGAGCTTCAGCTTCAGGATCCGTCCTTCCAAAGAACATCCAGAGTTGATTTCCTTTAGGATCAACTGATTGAATCTCCTAGTACAGGGGTAGGCAGCCTTGGCTCTTTTATGACTCGTGGACTTCAACTCCCAGAATTCCTGAGCCAGCCATGCTGAGGGGAAAGGGAGAGGTTTCCAAGCTGAGCCATGCTGGCTCAGGAATTCTGGGAGTTGAAGTCCACGAGTCATGAAGGGGCCAAAGTTTCCCCCATGCTGGCTCAGGAATTCTGGGAGTTGAAGTCCACAAGTCATAAAGGGGCCATAGTTCCCCCATGCTGGCTCAGGAATTCTGGGAGTTGAAGTCCACGAGTCATGAAGGGGCCATAGTTCCCCCATGCTGGCTGAGGATTTCTGGGAGCTGAAGTCCGCAAGTCATGAAGGGGCCATACTTCCCCCATACTGGCTGAGGAATTCTGGGAGTTGAAGTCCCCAAGTCATGAAGGGGCCATAGTTCCCCCATGCTGGCTGAGGAATTCTGGGAGTTGAAGTCCATGAGCCATAAAAGAGACAAGGTTGCTTACCCCTGTCCTAGGACTTTTGCTTCCATTTTGAGGGTGCCAAGGTTGCCTTTTTCACTGAAAAATGTGACTTATGACCGTTTTTCACACTTATAACCCTTGCAGGGAATTGATGTCCACTTGTCTTAAAGTTGCCAAGGGTGCGAAACACTGAGTTAAGATGTGTACGTGGGGCACAATTTGCTCTCTCCCTTTCTACGTACCTTGGTAAGCACATGGGTTGCGCGTGGCTTCCAATCACTGGCCAACACAGTCTCCAGTTTTTTCAGCCATACCCAGTTTCCCTGTCCAAGCAGAGCAAATCTTTTAAAACCAAAGTTCATATAACAAACTTTTTCACAGGGGTCCTTACGGGAATCAAGCGCATGTTAAACAAATTTGGTTCTGCCGATTGATTTTGATCATCAAAAGATCCCCGGGATGTCAAAAATTGTCCCGCATGTATCCGAATTTACAGCCCAAATGTTGGAGATGTGGAAGTTTAGATGCAACCTATTTTCACATTTGGTGGACTTGTAGAGATATAAAAGCTTTTTGGATTAAGATTTGGTGGAATATTCAAAAGATTTTTAAGAGAGAGATAAAGTTTACTCCGCAGTTATTTTTGTTGGTTATTATTGTAGACTTTGATGTTAAAGAAATCAACTTGATGTTGAATCTTATAACAGCTGCAAGATTATTAGTGGGGCAATATTGGAAGAAAAACTCTCTGCCTACTATGGAAGAATGGATACTTAAGGTGTCTAATTTAGCAGAAATGGCGAAAATCTCCGCCTATTTGAAGGACCATTCACAAGAAAAATATATTATGATTTGGAAAAGATGGATTGATTACATTCAAAAAAAAATATGAAACTGAAAAGTATTATCTTGCATATGAGTAGATTTTAGATAATTATTAATAGTTTTAATTATATTATTATTTTTGTTTATAATTCGTTAATACTTGTCTTGAAAAGGAGTTAAAGCGTGTTATGGTTTTGATTGATAGTATAGTTGGTTAATGTTAGTTAGATTATGTTTGTTTATTTGTTACCCTGTAATCAGCTCTGGGAAGTGGGGGAGGGGGGGAAGGGGTTTATATTGTATTAAATTTGTAAAACTTTTTATTAAAAAAAAAAGATCCCCGGGATGTCACCAATGGTGATCACGTGATCCCGGGACATTGCAACCATTGTAAATACACGGGGTTGCCAATCGCTTGCATTGTGATCTCTTGACTGTGGGGACACTATGATGGTTGTAACAGCAAGAACCGTGGATAACCTCAGCCACTTGGATGCTACCAAGATAAACGGGGATTAAGCCCAGACAAAGAAAATAACTTGAGAAAACACCCCAGTCTGATCCCTCCCTAGTTCATATGAAAATAAAAGTGGGAGGAGTATATTCAGACTTGCAAGATTTTGTTACTATAGCTTTACAATGAAAGATCTAATAGTGGTTAAGGCACCAGACTAGACACTGGGAGACAGTGAGTTCTAGTTCCTCCTTTAAACAGGAAAGGTAGGTGGGAGACTTTGGGCCAATCACCAGGGACAATGAGTTCTAGTTCTGCCTTAGAGACGAAAGGTAGCTGGGTGACTTTGGGCCAATCACCAGGAGACAGGGAGTTCTAGTTCTGTCTTAGAGACAAAAGATGAGTGACTTTGGGCCAATCACCAGGAGACTGGGAGTTCTAGTTCTGTCTTAGACAAAAGATAGCTAGGTGACTTTGGACCAATCACCAGGAGACTGGGAGTTCGTCTCTGAAAGGTAGCTGGGTGACTTTGGGCCAATCACCAGGAGACAGTGAGTTCTAGTCCCACCTTAGCTATGAAAGCCAGCTGGGTGACTTTGGGCCAATCACCAGGAGACAGGGAGTTCTAGTTCTGTCTTAGAGACAAAAGATGAGAGACTTTGGGCCAATCACCAGGAGACTGGGAGTTCTAGTTCTGCCTTAGCAATGAAAGATAGCTGAGTGACTTTGGGCCAATCACCAGGAAACTGGGAGTTCTAGTTCTGCCTTGTGCATGAAAGTCAGCTGGGTGACTTTGGGCCAATCACCAGGAGATGGTGAGTTCTAGTCCCACTTTAACCATGTAAGCCAGCTGGGGGACTTTGGGCCAATCACCAAGAGATGGTGAGTTCTAGCCCTGCTTTAGAGACAAAAGATAGCTGGGTGACTTTGGGCCAATCACCAGGAGACTGGAAGTTCGTCTCTGAAAGGTAGCTGGGTGACTTTGGGCCAATCACCAGGAGACAGTGAGTTCTAGTCCCACCTTAGCTATGAAAGCCAGCTGGGTGACTTTGGGCCAATCACCAGGAGACAGGGAGTTCTAGTTCTGTCTTAGAGACAAAAGATGAGAGACTTTGGGCCAATCACCAGGAGACTGGAAGTTCTAGTTCTGCCTTAGAGACGAAAGGTAGCTGGGTGACTTTGGGCAATCACCAGGAGACAGTGAGTTCTAGTCCCACCTTAGCCATGAAAGCCAGCTGGGTGACTTTGGGCCAATGACCAGGAAACTGGGAGTTCTGGTCCCGCCTTAGCCCTGAAGGCCAGCTAAGTGACTGGGCCAATCACTAATATTCCCCCATTTTTGTCTCTGCCACTATTTTGGGCTTTATCGATATTGATGGAGAGGGATCTCAAGAAATCCTCACTGCTCCTACGTCATGAAGGTCTCCCTTACCTCGTACACAGCCACATTGGAGGTTTCGTAGGTTAGAGTTGTGCTTTTCACCGACAACGAGTGGGTCACGGATCTGAGGCTGTGTTCTTCAGAGCAGCTCTTTGACTCGCTGAGGTTGTCAAGAGTTAACCTCTGGGAAAGCAAGCAATGACAGCCAGGAATTAAGCAAAGATGGAGACCAAGGGGGGGGGGAAAGAGCATATACGGGTAGTCATCGACTGACAACAGTTCATTTAGTGACCGTTCAAAGTTACAACGGTGCCAAAAAAAAGGGACTCCTGACCGGTTTTCAGAGTTACGACCTTTGAAGCATCCTCACGATCACGTGATCAGAATTTGGAAGCTTGGCAACTGACTCCTATTTATGACGGTCGCAGTGTCCCCGGGGTGATGTCCCAGTGGTTCACACTTATGACCGTTGCAGCATCACGTGTGTGTGTGTGTGTGTGTGTGTGTGTGTGTGTGTGTGACGTGGTCCCCTTTTGCAAACTTCTGACAAGCCACGTCAATGGGGGGAAGCTGGATTCACTTAACAACCGTGCTACTCACTGAACAAATACAGTGATCCACTTAACAACGGTGGCAAGAAAGGTCGTACAATGGGGCAAGACTTGCTTAACAACAGACATTTTGGGCTCTGCGGTGGTCGTAAGTTGAGGACAACCTGCACAGCTAGGAATTAAGCAAAGATGGAAACCAAGGGGGGGTATTGTCAACGCTGCTAACATCGGATATTTTTGCTTTGACGACAGATGGAGATGCAACCCTTTTCTTCTTATGTTTTACTCTTAGAGTTAGAGTTAGATGATGCTGGGGGGGGGGAGGAATGTGCATGAGAGTTTAGCTAGGACATAACAATGCTGAACCTAGTGTGAGAACCAAGGTTATTGAAATAAGAGATGATAAGAATTGGCGGCTAGAGAACTGGAGGGGAAGCCTGCGTTTCAAGCTAATTGGGGAATGTGATTTATGACAGTTAATTGGAAGAGGGAATTGTGCTTTGATACTATGTGCTCAAGGGGAGGGGAACTCAGATTATGGCTTCGACTATGTTAGTGCTGATGCTATGCTACTCGAATAAAGATTCTTTAAGGTAAACAATGCCTCGAAGTTCTTTGAAGAGGTTCATCTGTCGGAACCATGACAGGTATAGTCCTTGATTTACAACCATTCATTTAATGATCCTTTTGAAGTTACAAGGGCACTGGGAAAAGTGACATATGACTGATGCAACCGGCCACCATCTTGACTTTTTTGCCTATCTGGGCAGACTCCCCCCCTTAACCAATGAAAGACGGTCTCCCGTCACCTACCATTCGACTGATTTTGGTGTTTACAAAAGTTATATCGTCTAAAGTCAGAAACAGCCTCTGAGATCCTTTAACAAGTCGGCGGTTGGGGTGGCTGTTTCTGGAAAAAAAAAAACAGATTGAAAATACGCGTAAGTCTTTGGCCACCATCCCATTTTTTTCACTTAAAGGCAGTCCTCGACTTAACAACGGTTCACTTAGTGACTGAAGTTGCAATGGCACTTTAAAAAAGTGACTTTTGACCATTTTTCACCCTTAGGAACATTCCAGCATTCCCACAGACACGTGATCCAAAATTTGGGCGCTTGGCAACCGACTCACGTTTCTGACGGTCGCGATGTCCCCGGGGGGGGTCCACGTGATCCCCTTTTGCGACCTTCTGACTAGCAAAGTCAATGGGGGAAGCCGGATTCACTTAACAACCGTGTTACTAACTTAACTGCAGGGATTCCCTTAAGAAGTGAGGCGAAGAAAGATCATAAAGCGAGGCCAAACTCAAGAAAAGTCTCACTTAAGGACTGAAATTTCTTGGGCTCAATTGTGGTCATAGGTCGAGGACTAGCTGTAATACAGGGCCTGCCTAGATTGGCCTATTGATACCCCTTCTAACTCTTAAGGCAGGAGTCTTCAAACGTGGCCCTTTTATGACTTGCAGACTTCAACTCCCAGAATTCCTCAGCCAGCGTGCCTAGCTGAGGAATTCTGGGAGTCAAAGTCCACAAGTCATGAAGGGGCCATAGTTCCCCCCATAATGCCTCAGGAATTTTGGGAGTTGAAGTCCATGAGTCATGAAGGGGGCCATAGTTCCCCCCTGCTGGCTGAGGAATTCTGGGAGTTCAAGTCCACAAGTCATGAAGGGGCCATAGTTCCCCCATGCTGGCTCAGGAATTCTGGGAGTTGATGTCCACGAGTCATGAAAGGGCCATAGTTCCCCCATGCTGGCTCAGGAATTCTTGGAGTTGAAGTCCACAAGTCATGAAGGGGGCCATAGTTCCCCCATGCTGGCTGAGGAATTCTGGGAGTTGAAGTCCACAAGTCATGAAGGGGGCCATAGTTCCCCCATGCTGGCTGAGGAATTCTGGGAGTTGAAGTCCACAAGTCATGAAGGGGCCATAGTTCCCCCATGCTGGCTGAGGAATTCTGGGAGTTGAAGTCCACGTCATAAAAGGGCCAGGTTTGAAGACCCCTGCTCTGAGGCAACACATGTTTGATTCGGTTGCTAAATTTGCACAATCTCTCGCATTAGGCCTATAGGACCAGTCCAGCTGCACGGGGTTTTCTTTGGCCTCCCTTAATAATTTTGCATTGTTGTTATTTTCTGCAGAGGTGAGGCAGGAAGCCAGGAATTCTCTCTCCCTGCTTGAATTGTCAGAGGAATCCAAGCATCTGGCTTGCAATAATTGCTCTTTAAGATTTCTTTACTTAGCACAATTTATTTCCTGAAATCATTAGCTAATTGGGCCACCCACAAAAGCTCCGGAGAGATCAGAGATGCTCAGGTCGGGCGGTGGGGAAAATCTGGAGTGGATTCCTGGTGGAGGATGGGGTCGAGACTGACCATGCAGTGTAAAAGCTGGTTACTTAAGAAGAGACTGGACAGCCACTGGTCTGAAATGGGATAGGGTTTCCTGCCTGAGCAGGGGGTTGGACTAGATGACCTTCAAGGTCCCTTCCAACTTTATTATTATTATTATTATTATTATGGATTATCGCACAGTCAGCCAGATGTTCAGACTGGATTTGGCATTTTGTCTACCTATCGAGTCCTTACCCAGGACCTGGGATAGGCAGATGTGGATGTTTGATGGTATTACAGGTATCGTCGCAGGATGGAAGCAGTTCCTAATAAGGCCGCCTTTTGCAATTGACTAATAGCGAATTTGTCAATGCCAATGGTGTTCAAGTGGTGCTCCAGTTGTTTTGGGATTGCACCCAAGGAGCCTATGACTATTGGTACTACCCTTGCTTGCTTTTGCCACAGTCTTTCTATTTCTATTTGTAGGTCTTTGTATTTTGTTATCTTCTCCAGTTCTTTCTCTTCTATTCTGCTATCTCCAGGCACTGCCACGTCCACTATCCAGACTTTTTTGTCTTTCTTATCGACAATTGTTAAGTCTGGGGTGTTATGTTGCAGGTGCTTGTCTGTTTGAATTCTGAAGTCCCAGAGCAGTTTAATTTTATCATTTTCTATGACTTTCTCTATTTTATGATCCCACCAGTTTTTGCTTACAGGCAAATGATATTTTTTGCAGATCTTCCAATGCACCATTGTTGCTACTTTGTCATGCCGCTGCTTGTAATCAGTCTGTGCAATCTTCTTGCAACAGCTTACCAAGTGGTCCACTGTTTCTTCAGCTTCTTTGCATAGGCGGCACTTATTGTCTGTTGCTGTCTTCTCAATTTTGACTTTGTATGCATTTGTCCTTAAGGCTTGGTCTTGTGCAGCCAGAATTAGTCCCTCGGTCTCTTTCTTCAATTTTCCTGCTCTTAGCCATTGCCAGGTTTTATTATTATCTGCTTTCCCAGCTATTTTTTTCATGTATTGGCCATGTAGTGCTTTGTCTTCCCATGCCTCTATTCTGTTCTTCATTTGGTCTTTCTTGTAGGCCAGTTTGGTCTCTCCAGTAGTTAGTAAGCCTTCCTGATATACTAATTTCAGTGCATCTTCATCATTGTTCTTCAGATATTCTTCCAAAGTCATTTTTTCTTCTTCAACCATCTGATGTACTTGTAGCATTCCACGCCCACCTATTTGCCTTGGTAGATAAAGTCTATCAATGTCACTGCGTGGATGAAGGGCATGATTCATTGTCATTATTTTTCTGGTCTGCCTATCCATTGCTTTTAGTTCTGCTTGAGTCCAGTCCACTATTCCAGCTGTGTACCTAATGACTGGATTGCCCAGGTGTTGATTGCCTTTATGGTATTTCCTCCATTGAGTTTGGACTTTAAGATCTTCTTCACTCTCTTGATGTATTCACCTCTAATCTTTTTCTTGACTTCAGTGTGCTTGATGTTGTCAGCTTGAAGGATACCCAAGTATTTGTAGTACTCTTCCTCCTCCAGACTCTTAATGTTATTTTCGTGGGGCATCTTGATTCCTTCAGTTTTCACTACTTTTCCTTGTTTGATAGTAAGTGTGGCACATTTGTCCAAGCCAAACTCCATTACAATATCTTGGCTATATATACGGACAGTGTTGAGCAGCGATTCTATTTCAGATGATGTTTTTCCATACAGCTTCAGATCATCCATGTAAAGGAGGTGGGATAGTCTAGCAGATGTTTTTGATGTTTGATAGCCATGTCCTGAGTTATTCAGTATTGTTGACAGAGGAAACAGTGCAATAACAAATAGTAATGGTGATAATGAATCTCCTTGAAATATTCCTCTCTTGATATTAACCTCTCCCAGCTTCTCACCATTGATCTGCAACTGTGTCTTCCATTGTGCCATCGATCTTTGCACAAATTTTCTGATGTTTCTACTGACTCCTGTTATTTCTAGGCACTTGATTATCCAATCATGTGGCAGAGAGTCAAATGTCTTTTTGTAGTCAATCCATGCCACATTCAGGTTGGTCTTCCTTCTCTTGCAGTTTTCCAAGATCATTTTGTCTATTAGGAGTTGATCTTTTGTTCCTCTGCTATTGGGGCGGTTTCCTTTCTGCTCAGGTGGAAAGAGATTGTTTTCAACTAGATGCTGTTGTACTGCATCAGCTACCACACCAGTTAGTAATTTGAAAGTTGTTGGTAAGCAGGTAATTGGCCTGTAGTTACCTGGTGTTGCCCCTTTTGCTGGATTTTTCATTATTAGGTAGGTTTTCCCAGTTGTTAGCCACTTTTCAATTTCTTCTCCTTGTAGTATATTGTTGAATTGCTTGGCAATGAGTGGGTGTATAACAGTTAGATGTTTCAACCAAAACCCATGCAGTTCATCTTCACCTGGTGCTGACCAATTTTTGATTTTCTTTGCTCTTTTTTCTACCATTTTTGTTGTTATTACTAGTTCTTTCATTTCAACTTCTGTTTTATTTGCATCCACCTCTTTTAACCAAGCCGCATCCTTGTTGTATTTCTTTGGGTTATCCCATATCTGCTTCCAGAACTGCACTGTTTCTTCCTTGTCAGGTACTGACTGATTCCTTGCAGTTTCTCCATTGATGGATTGGTAGAAACATTTCTGATTGGATTGAAATTGGAGGTTCTGCCTATAGTTTGCAATTCGAGCTTCATATCTACTGATTTTCCTGGCTATAGCTGTTATTTGTTGCTTTATTATTTCCAGTGCTTCCTTGATCTTCCTTGTTTCTAAGTGGTATTTCTTGATTAGGTATTCTTTGGTCTTCTTGTTCTTCAGCTTCTTTTCTTTCATCTGTTCTAGCTTGCTTGCATGTGATCTTAACTTGCTGATCTTATTTTCTAGTCTAACCTTCCATTTTTCTGGTGCACTGTTTGTTTGTTTTTCTTCTTTGTTGATTTTGCATCCCAGGTATTGTTATAACTGCAGCTGTGCTGTACATTAGTTGGTTTGTTTCTTGCAGTGAATTGGTGCTTATACTTGCTATTGCAGTATTTGCATCTTTTAATGCTTGTGCTAGCTGTTTCTTTGGAACAAGCTTCAATGCAGGCAGCCTTATTCTGTTGTTTTTGTGCTGTTCTAGATGCTCAATTATTCTTTGTTTCAATTCTTTTATTTCTTTAGTTAGAGGGTTTTGTTCTTCCTGAGGAAGAGGTGCCTGGTTTCCAAATGAGAACAGTTGTATATCTCTGCTGGATTCCTTCACTGCCAACTCCCCCTGGTTTGCCTCTACATTCTGAATTACTTCTGGTAAGGCTTTGATTTCTTTGCCCTGGGTAAACCTTTGCAGTTCGTCCAATTCTGTTTCTGTGAATACTTTATTTCGTGTTATAAATCGGCGTTGATCTGCTAGTCTCTGTTCTGTTATTTCTGATTCTGGATGTTGTTTTTTCCAGAATTGGTGCATTCGTTTTAGATATCCTCGTCTTGTTGGACTTGATCTGTAGTAACAGATCATTATTTCTTTGTTTTCCATCACTGTGTATCTGCGACGGGTAAACACCTTTTCTTCCAGTAGTTCTGCAGCTGCTGGCCCTGGTTGCTCAGCCAACAGTCCTGAGTCCTGTAACCCATTTTTCACCAGATATCCAGGAACTCCAATATCTAGTGCGGACCTTGTTAACCCGGGCGACGTCCGAGCCGGTATGGCATTCTGAAATTTACGTCTCACCATATTTTTTATGGGAGAGACACTCTTTGTCTGACTCCTCTGATGAGACCTGTCCAGTATGGTTGAACCTCTGGCATAGCTCTCATCTTCCTCAGAGTACACAAGCCCCACAACCACGTCAAGGTAGTGCCTCACTGGGGGTTATTATTATTATTATTATATATATTATTATATTATTATTATTATTATTATTATGGATCATCTCACAGTCAGCCAGATGTTCAGACTGGATTTGGCATTTTGTCTACCTATCGAGTCCTTACCCAGGACCTGGGATAGGCAGATGTGGATGTTTGATGGTATTACAGTATCGTCGCAGGATGGAAGCAGTTCCTAGTAAGGCCGCCTTTTGCAATTGACTAATGGCAAATTTGTCAATGCCAATGGTGTTCAAGTGGTGCTCCAGTTGTTTTGGGATTGCACCCAAGGAGCCTATGACTATTGGTACTACCCTTGCTTGCTTTTGCCACAGTCTTTCTATTTCTATTTGTAGGTCTTTGTATTTTGTTATCTTCTCCAGTTCTTTCTCTTCTATTCTGCTATCTCCAGGCACTGCCACGTCCACTATCCAGACTTTTTTGTCTTTCTTATCGACAATTGTTAAGTCTGGGGTGTTATGTTGCAGGTGCTTGTCTGTTTGAATTCTGAAGTCCCAGAGCAGTTTAATTTTATCATTTTCTATGACTTTCTCTATTTTATGATCCCACCAGTTTTTGCTTACAGGCAAATGATATTTTTTGCAGATCTTCCAATGCACCATTGTTGCTACTTTGTCATGCCGCTGCTTGTAGTCAGTCTGTGCAATCTTCTTGCAACAGCTTACCAGGTGGTCCACTGTTTCTTCAGCTTCTTTGCATAGGCGGCACTTACTGTCTGTTGCTGTCTTCTCAATTTTGACTTTGTATGCATTTGTCCTTAAGGCTTGGTCTTGTGCAGCCAGAATTAGTCCCTCGGTCTCTTTCTTCAATTTTCCTGCTCTTAGCCATTGCCAGGTTTTATTGTTATCTGCTTTCCCAGCTATTTTTTTCATGTATTGGCCATGTAGTGCTTTATATTATTATTATTATTATTATTATTATTATTACTGTCTGAAGGGTGAGGTCAAAAGAGTCAAGATGGCGGACCTAGCAATTCAGCTGAAGCTCCACCTTCTTTTTATGCAGTGGAAAGAGGTGAAGTTTCAACCACGCCACTCTGCCTCCCATCTTAACTTTTGTATTGCTTTATTGCATGATGATAAAACATAAATAGCACATGTCTCACAATCATTCATTTAGCGACCATTCATGGTTACGGTGGCATCGAAAAAAGCGGCTTATTACCGTGTTTCATGCTTACATCCTTGCAGCATCCCCTGGGATCAGGTGATCAAAATTCGGACGCTTGGCAACTGACTGGTACTTGTGACGGCTGCAGTGTCCCTGGGGATCCTGTGATCCCCTTTTGCAAACTTCTGACGAGCAAAGTCAATGGGGAGAAACCAGGCTCACTTAACCACCATGTTGCTAACTTAACACAAGTGCAGCGATTCCCTTCACAAATGTGGCGAGCCAGAAATAATAAAATAAAATAAATAAATACTGACCGGATGAGGCAGGCCAGGTACAGGCCGAAGAGAAGCAGGAAGACAGGAGGTGACAGTAGCAGGATTACAATTTCCACTCCCGGATCTGGCCAATAAACAGAGATAATAATAATAATAACAACAACAACAATAACAACAACAACAGAGTTGGAAGGGACCTTGGAGGTCATCTGGTCCAACCCCCTGCTCAGGCGGGAAACCCTATACCATGACTGTCCAGTCTCTTCTTAAAAACTTCCAGTGTTGGAGCATCCACCACTTCTGGAGGCAGGTTGTTCCACTGGTTAATTGTTCTAACTGTCAGGAAGTTTCTCCTTAGTTCCAGGTTGCTTCTCTCCTTGATCCGTTTCCATCCGTTGCTTCTTGTCCTCCCTTCAGGCACTTTGGAAAATAGCTTGACTCCCTCTTCTTTGGGGCAACCCCTAAGATATTGGAATACTGCTATCATGTCTCTCCAATCTTTCTCTTTGTTTCAGTAACAGAATAACAGAGTTGGAAGGGACTTTGGAGATCATCTAGTCCAATCCCCTGCTCAGTCAGGAAATCCTATACCATTTTGGACAAATGGCTCTCCGGTCTCTTCTTAAAAATATCCAGTGTTGGAGCATTCACCGCTTCTGGAGGCAGGTGGTTCCACTGGTTAATTGTCCTCACTGCCAGGAAGTTTCTCCTTAGTTCTAGGTTGCTTCTCTCCTTGATGAGTTTCCATCCGTTGCTTCTTGTCCTGCTTTCAGGCACTTTGGAGAATAGCTTGACTCCCTCTTCTTTGGGGCAGCCCCTGAGATATTGGAATACTGCTATCATGTTCCCGCTCATCCTTCTCTTCATTAAACTAGACAGATCCAATTCCAGCAACATTAAACAGTGAAGGTTAAATCCTGCTCCAGAGTTGATCACTTTGAGTAGAGTGCAGGTTGCCCTTGACTTACAACCATTTCCTCCTCCTCCTCCTCCTCTTCCTCCTCCTCCTCCTCCTCCTCCCCACAACCCTCCTCCTTTCTATTATGGATGATGTTACTTAGTCTGGTCATGAAACATCTGCAAGGAAACAAACAAGCTCAGAAAGCATTAAGCACACATCACCGAAAATCCTCCTCCAATTACTGCATTCATAGTTTGAAGGAGCAACGGATGGAAACTGATCAAGGAGAGAAGCAACCTGGAACTAAGGAGAAACTTCCTGACAGTTAGAACAATTAACCAGTGGAACAACCTGCCTCCAGAAGCGGTGAATGCTGGAAGTCTGTAAGAAGAGACTGGACAGCCATTTGTCTGAAATGGTGTAGGGTTTCTGCCTAAGCAGGGGGTTGGACTAGATGACATCCAAAGTTCCTTCCAATTGTGTTATTCTGTTACTCAAACAAAGAGAAAGATTGGAGAGACATGATAGCAGTCTTCCAATATCTCAGGGGCTGCCCCAAAGAAGAGGGAGTCAAGCTATTCTCCAAAGCGCCTGAAGGCAGGACAAGAAGCAACGGGTGGAAACTAATCCAGGAGAGAAGCAACCTGGAACTAAGGAGAAACTTCCTGACAGTGAGGACAATTAACCAGTGGAACCACCTGCCTCCAGAAGCAGTAAATGCTCCATCACTGGAAGTTTTAAGAAGAGACTGTACAGACATTTGTCTGAAATGGTGTAGGTTCTTGCCTGAGCAGGGGGTTGGACTAGATGACCTCCAAGGTCCCTTCCAACTTTATTATTACTATTATAGGTAGACAAAATACCAAATCCAGTCTGATGTTCAGACTGGATTTGGCATTTTATCTACCTATCGAGTCCTTACCCAGGACCTGGGATAGGCAGATGTGGATGTTTGATGGTATTATAGATATATTATTATTATTATTAACAACTTTGAGCCCTCCAAATATAGGGAAGTGACAATTCCCAGAACCCCAGGAAATGGGAGTCCCTAAGCAGAAAACAAGTCAGAGAAAGTTCTCGGCGTACTTGTCTGCTGATCATTGTGCAAAGGAACCTTTTTGGTTTTTCCCCAAAGTGCGATACTCACACACGTCATTTCTCTCGCAGAGGACCTGGGGTTCGAACCAGCAGGCCAAATCAGCGGGGGGCGGTCTCCCTCCAGGAAAATGGACTTCTCTTCCCAAGGGCTGCATCTTGCCCGAAGACGCTGCCAGCAGGTAAGTTGGGTGCAGGTGACTTTCTTTGCCATCCGTGTCCAGAATGACGTATTTGGCCAGCGGCCGCCCTTGGCTGTCGACTTGGATCCTGCGGTTGAAGCCGGCAAAGTCCAAATTTCTGACATGTTGAATCAAGGTCGTTCCAGAGAGTTCAGAGGTTTGGGGCTGGCCTACCTTGGCTAGGGCTTTGGTGACCAGGTAAATGGCGTCGTAGATTGTCCCAAAAAGAGGAGAGACCTGCAAAAGGACAGAAGCGAAGGCAAAACGGACTTTTAGGTATTTATTTCATTCGTCTACAGCCCACCTTTATTATTTGTACAAATAAATCGAGGTGGCAAACAGCCTGCCTCCAGAAGCAGTAAATGCTCCAACACTGGAAGTTTTTAAGAAGAGACTGGACAGCCATTTGTCTGAGATGGTATAGGGTTTCCTGCCTGAGCAGGGGGTTGGACTAGATGACCTCCAAGGTCCCTTCCGACTTTACTACTACTACTATTATTATTATTATATTCAACTCACCTTCCTCCAACTCACTTAACAACTGTCTCGCTTAGCACCAGAAATTTTGGGCTCCATTGGTCAAGAATTATGTGTGGATAGAATAGAATAGAGCTGGAAGGGACCTTGGAGGTCTTCTAGTCCAGCCCCTTGCTCAAGCAGGAGAACCTACACCATTTCAGACAGGTGAATGTCTAGGCTCTTCTTAAAAACCTCCAGTGATGGAGCGCCCACGATTTCTGGTGGCAAGCTGTTCCACTGGTTGATTGTCCTCACTGTCAGGAAGTTTCTCCTTAACTCCAGGTTGCTTCTCTCCTTGACCAGTTTCCATCCATTGTTTCTTGTCCTTCCCTCTGTTGCTTTGGTGAACAACCTGGCCCCCTCTGCCTTGTGGCAGCCCTTGTGGCAGATACGCAGCTATCATGTCTCCCCTATTTCTTCTTTTCTTTACACTAGCCAAACCCAAGTCCTGCAGCCGTTCTTCGTATGGTTTAGCTTCCAGGCTGTGGGAAGTCAGCCCTCCAGAGAAGGAAATATTGAAAGGGCAGAAAAATATATTTCCTCAAAGGATCTTAAAGAGGCAGAAAAGCATGCCCAGTTTTTCTTAATAGCCCCAGGTCTCTCTCCCCCAAGCAGGAATCAGCAGATGCGGTAATCCATTCAGGAAGGCTGGAGGCCTCCAGCTAAAAGTTTAGGAAGACAAAGACACCTACAATCTACATATCCCACCCAAACTCTAAGACAGGACATAATAAGATTAACTCACAGATGCCAAAGGGCACACTCAGACTTACGTCAGAATACATGACACAGGAAATACAAAGCCTCAAACAGGAACAGGAAACAACTCCAAACAAAAGGCTCCAGAGGGTATAAAAACCCACTCCCTACATGTGCTCGCACTTTTTTCTTCCAGAGCCATCCTTCCTGTCTCGGCTCTCCTCTTCAATAAACTGCAACCTTCTTTCTAAAGCAGTCGCCATGTTGTTTATTCCCGGCTTGGACTGAACCACGATGAAGACTTTTCCTTCAACAAGGCCTTGTATCATCTTAGTTGCTCTTCTCTGAACTTTTTCCAAACTCTCAACACCTTTTTTGTGATAGCGGTGACCAAAATTGGCTGCTGTATTCCAGGTGTGGCCTTACTAGGGTTTTTATAAAGCAATACTAATACGGACCGACTGACCTGTTCAGGTTCAAAATCCACCTTGATTTCTCCCTTTTCTTTGGCCGCTCGCAAAGCGTCGTAGAAAGTCGATTCTCCAGACTGCAGCGTGATCGTCAGCACGGCGTCGTAAGCCTTCCGGAAGGCGTCGTCATTTTCCAGAAGGAAATAGGAATGGTTTCCGTAGGGCAGGCTGTAGAAGAGCGTGTCGTAGGGCAGAAAGAGGTACCTGCCGTCGGCCAGCCCCAGTTCCTGGGCTTTGCTTAGGAAGGTCGCCTGGTCTTCCCCCCCAGCGAAAGCAGACGCCATGCAGAGCAGAAGGACTGAGAGGAGAAAGGGAAGGAAGGGGTTAAATCAGTGGTTCTCAACCTGTGGGTTGGGACCCCATTTGGGGTCGGACGACCATTTCACGGGGGTCGCCAAACAACGCAGTCCGCAATTTTTTTTCCCCTTTTCCTTAGCTGTGCTACTCCCTTTTATTCTATTGGCTTTTGAAAGCCAATAGAATAGACTCTCTTGAATAGAGTCTAATTCTATTGGCTTTCAAAAGCCAATAGGAATTGTCCAGGCTGTCTCTGCCCTGCTGAGCCCACCAAAAGTCCCATTCTGCAAACGGTGCTGCACCAGTTGAATAGTCCTCGACTTACGACCGGTTGAGTAGTCCTCGACTTACGACCGGTTGGGGGTCACGGCATTAAAAAGGTTGAGAACCACTGGGTTAAAGCTTCTTGCTTCCACAGGAGAGGGAGGGGGAGAGAGGAGAAAGGCAGAATTAACCAGCGTAACAGAGTGGGAAGGGCTCTTGGAGGTCTTCTAGTCCAGCCCCCTGCACTAGGATGAGCGTGCTTCCGACCATCAAAGTGGAAAGGCCAGTTGGAGACTTTAATTTGTTACAGGTAGTCCTTGACTTATGACCGTAATTGAGCCCCACATTTCTGTTGCTAAGCGAGACGGTTGTTAAGGGAAGGGAGGGACGGAGGGACGGAGGAAGGAAAAGAGGAAGGGGAAAGGAGGGAGGAAGGAACAAAGAGAAAATGAAGGAGAAAGAAAGAAGAAGAAGGAAGGGAGGGAGGAAGGAAGGAAGGAAAAGGGGAAGCGGAAGGGGGAAAGGAACAAAAGAGAAAAGGAAGGGGAAAGAAAGGAAGAAAAAGAAGGGAGGGAGGGAGGGAAGGAGGGAAGGAAGGAAGGAAGGAGAGAATGAGGGAGGAAGGAAAGAAAAGGGGAAGGGAGGGAGGAACAAAAGAGACAGGGAAGGGGAAAGAAAGAAGAGAAAGAGAAAGAGAAAGAGGGAAGGGGAAGGAAGGAAGGAAGGAAGGAAGGAAGGAAGGAAGGAAGGAAGGAAGGAAGGAAGGAAGGAAGGAAAAGGGGAAGGGGAAAGGAGGGAGGAAGGAACAAAAGAGAAAAGGAAGGGGAAAGAAAGAAGAAAAGGAAGAAGGGAGGGAGGGAGGAAGGGAAGGAAGGAGAGAATGAGGGAGGAAGGAAAGAAAAGGGGAAGGGAGGGAGGAACAAAAGAGACAGAGAAGGGGAAAGAAAGAAGAGAAAGAGAAAGAGGAAGGGGAAGGAAGGAAGGAAGGAAGGAAGGAAGGAAGGAAGGAAGGAAGGAAGGAAGGAAGGAAGGAAGGGGGGAAGGGGAAGGGAGGGAGGAAGGAAGGAAGGAAGGAAGGAAGGAAGGAATAAAAGAGAAAGGGAAGGAAAGAAAGAAGAGGGAGGAAGGAAGGAAGGAAGGAAGGAAGGAAGGAAGGAAGGAAGGAAGGAAGGAAGGAAGGAAGACCAATATTAGACCAACAATCAAGGAATAAACAATTCCTCCATTAAGGAACTACCTGCTCAGACAAACAATCAAACGGTAAACCACAGCCTAATCAAGGGATCACCAAGAGGCACTTCCACCAACACTAACAGGGCAATAGTATAGAAGCGGAGACCAAACACCACCACCCCTTCTAGCACTGATGATGTTACCTAGTTGGGTCATTAAACATCTACATGAGAACTAGAAAGCTCCGACCGCACCAGGGACCCTGAGCTCCAAATATTTGCTTCCACTGAACCGTGGAAGGTTTTCCAAGACTTTGCGATGTAGGTGGAACCCGGTCGATCTACATTTTGTTAGTTTCCCATCCGGAACATTTCCGCCATTTTACCTTTGATATTTCCAGCAGCTTGAATCTTGCGCCAAGTCTCTTCTACTTTTCCCGTTTCCGTCCCGGTGGACGTCACAAGAGCCACGGGTAGCCCGTGGCTTCTGAGGACGCTCGCCAGCTTGTGAGCTGTGTCCACCCAAAGTTCCCCCTTGGAAGAGACGATGCCAACATGAGCCCAGCTGAAATATTTGAACACGGCGAGGAGGACAGAAGCCGCAGAAGGCAACGTTCCTATCAATGCTGGCTGGTTCGTTGGATTGTCCAGGGGGTCTTCTAGACAGACCCAGGACAACATGGCTTTGTTCCAGCCTTGTGCTAGCCAAGAGGCAGCCTCACAGTGGCGAGGATTCAGCGGTCCTACGAACGCTGACAGATTCTTGGAGGAGTCAGCAAATCTAGCCACGGCTTTCCAGGTCCGGCAGTCTTCCTCAAACAAGACGTAATCCAGTTGGTGGATCGCAGAGAGGGAGGGATCCTTCTTGATCCTCTCCACGGCTAGTTGAGCAGCAGCTTCAGGCAGGGCGCTGGAGAAGAAGGCGTCGCGGGACCAAGGTCCCACCAGACCGAGCTTAAGGGCTGGGCAACAGACTGGAGAAAGTGCCAGGATCATCCCTAAGGTGACACCCCCGTGAAGGTTCATGGAGGGCAAAGAGAGCCAGCTGGCATGCCAGGGGAAGGCAAGGGGGCGGGAGCTTAGCCGCCATGTCATCCCACCGGAGGAGGCCAAGACCACCATCTGTGAGGATGACCGACCTGTTGAAGGGGAGAAGACGTTAGAACAGTGGTTCTCAGACTGTGGGTCGGGACCCCATTTGGGGTTGAGCGACCATTTCACGGGGGTTGCCAAACAACACAGTCCGCCATTTTTTCCCCCTTTTCCTTAGCTCTGCTACTCCCTTTTATTCTATTGGCTTTTGAAAGCCAATAGAATAGACTCTCTTGAATAGAGTCTAATTCTATTGGCTTTCAAAGCCAATAGGAATTGTCCAGGCTGTCTCTGCCCTGCTGAGCGCCAAAAAGTCCCATTCTGCAAACGGTGCTGCACCCGTTGAGTAGTCCTCGACTTACGACCGGTTGAGTAGTCCTCGACTTACGACCGGTTGGGGGTCACGGCATTAAAAAGGTTGAGAACCACTGCGTTAGAAGATCATTCAAGATCCCTGTTCGTTTCAGAAAAGGCAGGCACAGCCCCACTTCTCTCTCTTACTCTCTCTTTCTCATTCTTTCCCATTCCCTCTCTCATCCTTTCTCTCTTCCTCATTCTCTTTCCCATTCTCTCTCTCTCATCCCCTCTGTCTCTCATTCTCCTATTCTGTCTCTCATTCTCTCTTACACACTTTCTCTCTCATCCTTTCTCTTTCTTTGTCCTTCTCTCTTTCTCATTCTCTTTCCCATTCTCTCTCTCTCATCCCCTCTGTTTCTCATTCTCCTATTCTGTCTCTCATTCTCTCTTACACACTTTCTCTCTCATCCTTTCTCTTTCTCTCTCCTTCTCTCTTTCTCATTCTCTTTCCCATTCTCTCTCTCATTCACACACACATTCTCTCATCCTCTGTCTCTCATTCTCTCTCCTATTCTCTCTCATTCTCTCTTACACACATTCTCTCTCATCCTTTCTTTCTCTCCTATTCTCTCTCTCATTCTCTCTTACTCATTCTCTGATCCTTTCTCTCTCTCTCCTTCTTTCTCTTTCTCATTCTCTTTCCCATTCTCTCATCCTTTCTCTCTCTCTCATTCACACACACATTCTCTCTCTCATCCCCTCTGTCTCTTTCTCTCTCTTCTCTCATCTCTCATTCTCTCTTACACAAATTCTCTCTCATCCTTTCTCTTTCTCTCTCCTTCTCTCTTTCTCATTCTCTTTCCCATTCTCTCTCTCATTCACACACACATTCTCTCATCCTCTGTCTCTCATTCTCTCTCCTATTCTCTCTCATTCTCTCTTACACACATTCTCTCTCATCCTTTCTCTCTCTCCTTCTCTCTTTCTCATTCTCTTTCCCATTCTCTCTCTCATCCTTTCTCTCTCTCATTCACACACACATTCTCTCATCCTCTGTCTCTCATTCTCTCTCCTATTCTCTCTCATTCTCTCTTACACACATTCTCTCTCATCCTTTCTCTCTCTCCTTCTCTCTTTCTCATTCTCTTTCCCATTCTCTCTCTCATCCTTTCTCTCATTCACACACACATTCTCTCATCCTCTGTCTCTCATTCTCTCTCCTATTCTCTCTCATTCTCTCTCACACACACATTCTCTCTCATCCTTTCTCTCTTTCTCATTCTCTTTCCCATTCTCTCATCTTCTCTCTCTCTCTCTCTCTCTCTCTCTCTCTCTCTCTCTCTCTCTTTCTCTTTCTCTCTATCTCTCTCTTTTTCTCTCACTATAAAACACGATGAGTGACCCATTGCTGTTCTACCAGCTTCTATTTTTTACAGAAATGTGCGGATGGAAGAGAGATTTGCAGAACTGAATAATAAAGGAAAGTAATTTCTCTCAAATATAGCAAAGCCTTAAACATTACAAATTGTTTCTCTAGCAAGCGGTCAAGATAAGGATGCCTCAGCTTTCAAATATCATTTGAAATCAAGCAGTTTTCTCAAGTCACGTGAGATATTTACAAAGATCGGGATTTATTATTTTATTATTTTATTTTTAAACAGATAGTTGGATCTCTCTTTCCAAAACCAAACTTGGAAAAAGCTATTTGGATGGTGGCCACTGACAGGGCAGAAATCCACTTACCAAATTCTTGAGTGGAATTGTCCAAGGTTAGGGATACCACCATGCAGAAAAACACAACGTTTAGGGAGTCCTGAACGAAAGAAAATAATTCTGGAAAAATGACTTTACAAGTCTCCTCTATCTCTGAAAAGCTGGCACTTTCTCCAACTGTGATTGGAGATATGAAGCAGATTGAAGACTCGGCACCAAGGAGATTTCCCCTTGAGATTTCCGATTAATGCTTCGTTGGAAGAGCATGTATTTTCTTGACAGTGGTATTATGGGATGGAAGGAGGTTTGTACACTCCTCCTGGTCTTTCCATTTTTATCCCACTTCTAAAAAAAAGGACACAGGAGGCTGGGCACCCCAATGCAGTTTATTTATTTAGAATAGAATAACAGAGTTGGAAGGGACCTTGGAGGCCATCTAGTCCAACCCCCACCCAAACAGGAGACCCTACACCATTTCTGACAGATGGCAGTCCAGTTTCTTCTTGAAAGCTTCCAGTGATGAAGCTCCCATAACAACAACCCTGTGAGGTGTTTGGGCAGAGAGAGAGAGAGAAACAGGCCCCAAATCAGCCAGACGGCTTTCATGGCTAAGGCGGGACTAGAACTCCCAGTCTCCTGGTGATTGGCCCAAAGTCACCTAGCTGGCTTTCATGGCTAAGGCGGGACTAGAACTCACCTTCTCCTGGTGATTGGCCCAAAGTCACCCAGACGGCTTTCATGGCTAAGGCGGGACTAGAACTCACCGTCTCCTGGTGATTGGCCCAAAGTCACCCAGACGGCTTTCATGGCTAAGGCGGGACTAGAACTCACCGTCTCCTGGTGATTGGCCCAAAGTCACCTAGCTGGCTTTCATGGCTAAGGCGGGACTAGAACTCACCTTCTCCTGGTGATTGGCCCAAAGTCACCCAGACGGCTTTCATGGCTAAGGCGGGACTAGAACTCACCGTCTCCTGGTGATTGGCCCAAAGTCACCCAGACGGCTTTCATGGCTAAGGCGGGACTAGAACTCACCGTCTCCTGGTGATTGGCCCAAAGTCACCCAGATGGCTTTTACGGCTAATGCGGGACTAGAACTCACCGTCTCCTGGTGATTGGCCCAAAGTCACCCAGACGGCTTTCATGGCTAAGGCGGGACTAGAACTCACCGTCTCCTGGTGATTGGCCCAAAGTCACCCAGACGGCTTTCATGCCTAAGGTGGGACTAGAACTCACCGTCTCCTGGTGATTGGCCCAAAGTCACCTAGCTGGCTTTCATGGCTAAGGCAACACTAGAACTCACCGTCTCCTGGTGATTGGCCCAAAGTCACCCAGACGGCTTTCGTGGCTAAGGCTAATAATAGGAAAAGCCATGGTCTCCTCACTCTTCCCCTGACCACTCTTTAATCTCGGGGCTGAGATTTAAAAAAAAAAAAAGGCCCAAATTCTGATTGCACCATTGACTTTTTTTTTTAACTGTACGTCGTAAACAGCCCTGAACACTGACATTCCAAATCATTTATTTAAAATCTGATCATCTCTGCATTAAAACCTCTGCCCTGGATTCGTATCCTTTCCGTGCCTGAAAAACATTAAAATAACTCCATAATTTCTAGGCAGAGTTTAGAACAGTGGTTCTCAACCTTTTTAATGCCGCGACCCCCAACCAGTCGTAAGTCGAGGACTACTCAACCGGTGCAGCACCGTTTGCAGAATGGGACTTTTGGCGGGCTCAGCAGGGCAGAGACAGCCTGGACAATTCCTATTGGCTTTTGAAAGCCAATAGAATTAGACTATATTCAAGAGAGTCTATTCTATTGACTTTCAAAAGCCAATAGAATAAAAGGGAGTAGCACAGCTAAGGAAAAGGGGGAAAAAATGGCGGACTGCGTTGTTTGGCGACCCCCGTGAAATGGTTGTTCGACCCCAAATGGGGTCCCGACCCACAGGTTGAGAACCACTGGTTTAGAAAGAAACGTGAGAAACCAGGTGTTAAAGTGTCATTTTAAGTTTTTGTGGGTTTTTGTTTTTAATTTTGCCCTCTGTTGGGCAGTGTGCCTTTGCCAATGGAAAAGCGTCTATCTTGACTAAGGCATTATCTGCGAGCGAGACAACATGTCAGGGCTTGTTGTTGCTTTGATCATCCACCCTGATCAAACTCCGGAAAAATCTGCTGAGCGCTGAAACGAGCAAATCAGAACCGAGGGGAATATATTCATAAAAGTTTTCTTTTTCTTAAGTGTTTGCCAGCCGCTGTGCAGGGACTCATTAGCAGATGGGCTAACCAGCTGGTCAATTAGCAAATTGGTTTTTGGGACCCTCTGAAGCAGCTGCTTCCCTCATCCACGAATGGAGCCAGCCAGGAATTTCCAAAATCAGGCGAGCCTCCTGCAGCAGGAGCACTGCAGCAGAACAAGGCATCCTTAGGATCCTCGTACAGCTGGTCCTTGACTTACAACAGCTCATTTAGTGACCAGAGTTAACAAGTGTTGAAGGAAAAGTCTTCATCGTGGTTCAGTCCAAGCCGGGAATAAACAACATGGCGCCTGCTTTAGAAAGAAAGTTATTGAAGAAGAGATCATCTTCTTCATTAAGTATTTTATCTTAAACATGTATTTTGCATATTATAGTTTGTTATGAAGTGAGGTAAGGGTCATTTGGATTACCCAAAGTCTGGAAATGATAAATATTAAAGGTTAAACGGGAATACTGATAAGAAATTAAAAATTGAGTAAAATTAATAACAGGACATGGATTGTTTATGAAGATTGAAGGTAATTAAGATGTGAATAAGCTAAAAAAATCTATTGATAAATGTAATAATGATCTTCTTGTTGAGTTGATATAATTGGAACTATACTAGCCTGAATATGAGACACTAAATGTTAGGGAAAAAAGAGAAGAAATATTCGATGTTGTAAACCAGAGATTTGCACTAAGATTTTGTTATTGAACTATTATAACCCAGTCACCATGTTGCTTTTTAAATATTTAAATGTAAAACTGGAAAATTAATAAAATATTACCAAAAAAAGAATATTTTATCTTTATACACATAGGGTTTTTTTTTTTTTTTAATCTTTATAGGTTGTCTTAGGCCAGTAAGGAACGGTTGTTGGAATTGAGTATGTCCAGTTTAATGAAGAGAAGGACAACAGGGGACATGATAGCTGGGTTCCAATATCTCAGGGGATGCCCCAAAGAAGAGGGAGTCAAGCTATTTTCCAAAGCGCCTGAAGGCAGGACAAGAAGCAACGGATGGAAACTAACCAAAGAGAGAAGCAACCTAGAACTAAGGAGAAACTTCCTGACAGTGAGAACAATTAACCAGTGGAACAACCTGCCTCCAGAAGCAGGTTTAATTAGGGAGGAGGTTGTTTATTCTTAAGCTAGGCCCTTTTATTTGTGCAACAGATATTTGATTGTTGACATAGCGACCATGCCATTGGGATGGAGACCAAAAAAGGGGAAAAATTGAAAATTGAAGAAAGAAAATCACTCAACCATTCCAAAATTTATAACTTTTGCCATTAATTTGACTGAAGGCCAAAGGACAACACACGGCTTGGACTCTTGAGATCTAAGATTAAGTTAGAACAATTAACCAGTGGAACAACCTGCCACCGGAAGCTGTGAATGCTCCAACACTGGAAGTTTTTAAGAAGAAACTGGACAGCCCTTTGTCCGAAATGGTATAGGGTTTCCTGCCTGAGCAGGGGGTTGGACTAGATGACCTCCAAGGTCCCTTCCAACTTTATTATTATTATTATTATTATTATTATTATTATTATTATTATTACTACTACTACTACTACTACTACTACTACTACTACTACTACTACTACTATTGGGCCTAAGATTCCATTGCTAAGCAAGGCAGTTATTAAGTCAGTTTTGCTCCGTTGTACGACCTTTTGCCACTGTTGTTAAGCAAACCGCCGTTAAGTGAACCATGCAGTCACTAAGCAAGCCTGGCCTCCCCCACTGACTTGCTTGTCTGAAGCTGGCTGAGAAGGCTGCAAGTGGGGATCATGTGACTGTGGGATGCGGCAAGGGTCGTAAATGTGAAAAACAGTCGTAAGTCATTTTTTTTCAGTCACTAAAGGAATGGTTGTGGTGAGGACTTTTCCGTCAACAATTTCATCCGTTGTATGTCAAGGATTACCTGCCTTGTGAATCTGTCTCTGGAGATACTCAGTCCTCCAGGTCATGGTTGTCGCAAAGCAGCTTTTTTTAGGAGGTGTTGGAAGAAAAGTCTTCCTCATGGTTCAGTCCAAGCCGGGAATAAACAACATGGCGACTGCTTTAAAAAGAAGGTTGCAGTTTATTGAAGAGGAGAGCCCAGACAGAAGGATGGCTCTGGAAGAAAAAAGAGCGAGCACATGTAGGGAGTGGGTTTTTATACCTTCTGGAGCCTTTTGTTTGTGGAGTTGTTCCTGTGGCATGAACTTTGACCTGAGTCTGAGTGTGCCCTTTGGTATCTCTGTGTTAATCCTATTATGACCCGTCTTAGAGTTTGGGTGGGGTGTGTAGATTTTAGGTCTCTTTGTCTTCTTAATCTTCTAACTGCATTTCTACAGAGCTGGCTTCTGCTTGGGGGGAGAGAGACCTGGGGGCTATTAAGAAAAACTGGGCATGCTTTCCTGCCTCTTTAAGATCCTTTGAGGAAACATATTTTCCTGCCCTTTTAATATTTCCTTCTCTGGGGGGCTGACTTCCCAGAGAGGCAACTAGACTTTGTTGTTTTTCTTTGAAGACCTTTCGCTTCTCATCCCAGAAGCTTCTTCTGTTCTGACTGGGTGGTGGAAGATGGAAGGATTTATACTCCTTGCAGACAGCTGGTCATTTTCATCCTTTTCAAGGGTGGTTGAGGCCACCTGGAGGTTTACCTGTGTCCTCACCTGAGTGCTGCAAATGGGTGGGGAGCCTTCTTGCAACTGTTGTAGACTGGAGATAGGTGGTGTCGTATCCCTCCCCCCGTTGAGAAAGGGCTGATCAATTTGGACACATTGACCCCTCTTTCACACCAGCGGTACACTCTCTCCAAAATGTGGACTTCGCAGTCTTCAAAAGATGGGGCTTTGTCTTTTAAATGCAGGTGGACGGCTGAATCGAGTC